CGGCTGCCGATGGTCATTTTTTGACGCCGTCGCCGGGTGCGGTGGAGGGAATGGCGGCTCCCTGCGGGCGGCCGCGCCACCCCTGACGTGGCGTCTGCCGGTTGGTCCCGGCAGCGCCCGTCGGCTGGAGATGGCGCGGCGCTCGTTGATTGGTCCACGCTCCCCACGTGGTACGCCTGGCTTCCGCTGTCGGCGGAAACGCTCCCGGCCATGGCGGCAATTTCAAATTGCGGCGCGGTCCCAGTGGCGGGAAACGGCCGTCGGCCTCCGGCTCTCCCCATGCTCCTCTGCATCCGCCACCCCTCCCCGAGTTATTTCCACCAGCAGCGAGGGGTAACTCAGCGAGGCGGGAATGAGCATCCCGGAGCCCACCCCCCGATGGCGGCGGAGCGTCCGGCGGCTGCGGCGGTTGCTGAACCGCTGGCAGCGTCTCGGCCTCCTTCCCCGAGTTCGCTGGTCCTGCCCCAGCAGAGTCGTCATCTTCCCCAGGTTCCTGCACACGAGTCGTCCGTCTTGTGTCCATGGCGTGCAGTTGGGACCACTTCTGACCCCAGTTGTAGTGGGTTATTTGATGACAGAGACGTTGAAGTAGAGGCAACACTATTTATTAACACTTAGCCACGTTACAGCTTCACACTCGAAGAGGTAACGGCCTCTTCACCCGCTGCTCTCAAGGGAGGTATTCCCAAGCTAACTTGCCTCGACTCTCCTCTAAGGGAGGCTACCTGACCTGGCCCAGCCAAGGCGCAGGTCTCGACCACCAGCCACACGGACCCCGGCCCTTACAAAGACGTCGGGCTCCGAGGCTCTGGGGTCGCACCACTGGCTTGCTCTGCCCGGCCCTTACAAGGGCAGCGGGTCAGAGGAGTCCCAGGGTGTCTAGCTAGCTGGACCTCAGTCTTCAGCTGGTTCTTCTGGCTTCGGCTTGTCAGTACTGCCCAACTCTCTCGGGCTCCCGCCTTTAATACAAACTCCCCACCGAGGGGCGGGGCTCTGTGGGATCCCAGGACACCCTGCAGCCCCCACCCGTTGGGAGGGGCGCGGGGGATCCAAACACCCCACAGCCCCCGGGAGGGGCCCCGGCTAGGGATATCACGATCGCCCCATACAGGTAAGTAATGGGAGTTAGCCGGAGCTGGTGTGCGTACGTCTCAATACCACCATTACACATGTGGAGGGATGCAGGCAAGGCCGATGAGTGAGATGCCTTCTATGACCTCCTGTCACAGGTGCAAGCTAAAGTGACATCTCGGGATAGTCATCTTGTTGGGCGACTTCAATGCCTGAGTTGGTCATGATGCTGGCACCTGGTCTGGAGTGATTGGAAGGCATGGGCCAGATCAGTTCAATAACAACGGTAGGAGGCTGCTAGATTTTTGTGCAGCCCATGGGCTTGTAATTACCAACACGCTGTTCCAGCATCGGCGCATCCACACAACATCATGGATGCATGCCGGGTCTAAGCAGGAACATCTGCTGGACTACATAGTGATGGAACAGCGCATGCAGCCCCATGTACTTGACACCAGGACCCACCATGGAGCTGATCTGCCCACTGATCATCGACTTGTCATCTGTAAAATGCACCTTCCATTCTTCCACTCCAGTGGTGGGTGTACACCCAGGACCCCATTCAAACCCAAAGTGGCATGGTCTCAGCTAGCTGATGAAATTTGCAAGCGAGAATTGAATCATCGCTTGCGACTGGGGTTGACTCTGGAGGAGTGGGGGACGATGCCAATGGCTGCTTTGGGTACGCGGTCCAGACGTCCCCAGAGACCCTGGCTGATAGAGGAGGTGTTCAGGATGGTTGAGAAAAAGCGACAGGCCCACCCTCATGGTCTACAGCATCCCACGTCAGAGAATGAGGAGGCTTACCGCAGCCTTCGCTTGGAGGTTTGGAGAGCAGTGAGGTGCTACAAGGATGGGTGGTGGTCGCGGGTTGCTGAGGAGATGGAGTCTGCCTCAGTGGCCCGTGATCACAAATCTCTATTTAACTCCATCAAAAAAGTAATCTGCAGCGCCACACCTATTACCATCATTAGGGGAAAAAACGGTGACCCAATCTCCGACCCCCAGGAACAGGTTTGCAGATTTGCTGAGCATTTCTGTGAGGTCCTGGGGAGGGAAAATCCCTCAGCCAGGAAAACATCGTGGCACAAAGTGAGGATGACCCTGCTGAGGCTGCGGTGCCTCAAATATTGGAAGAAGTCACCGCCTGTGAGTGACTGGCTGAGGTGCCATCTGTTGAGGAAGTACTGAAGGCGATCCGGAGTTTGAGACCAGGAAAGGCAGCGGGCAGAGATGATCTCCCAAGCGAAATGCTGAGGGAGGGCGGCGTTTGTGCACAGACTGCCCTATATGACATCATAACAACAGTCTGGACCACTGGACAGGTTCCACAGGATTGGAAGGATGCCCTGGTGGTCCCCCTT